GTTTACGTGTTGTGTTCAGGGTTCAGCTCTGTGTTTGTTTTTGTTTATGTGTTGTGTTCAGGGTTCAGCTCTGTGTTTGTTTGTGTTTACGTGTTGTTCGTTTCTCCTCAGGGCATCTATTTATCCCACGACTCGGATCGTTCAGGTGCGATCAGCTCCGACGAGCTGCCGCGTGCCTTCAAGGCAGCAGGTGAGGACATCGGCCCGCTCTGCGTTTGAGTCAGCTGAAAGGTTCTGGTGGATCTCAGACGGGTCGTCTTTGTTCTTGCAGGTTTCCCTCTGAATGAAGAACTCTTCAAGCTGATCGTCCGTCGCTACAGCGACGAGAACGGCAACATGGACTTTGATAACTTCATCGGCTGCTTGGTTCGACTGGACGCCATGTGCAGTGAGTCCCTGCTTCACTTTGGTTCTGATGCCTTTCACCAGTCGAGGGCGACGTTCTGCTAACACGCTAACAGCTAACAGCTAACAGCAGAGCCAATTAACCGTTTAGCGGATTAGCATTTTAGCTTACTTTGGAATCCATCCTTCCTCCCTCCCTCAAATTAGGTTTCGCCAACTTTAAGTCCACTAACGAAATTCTCACGATTGTTCCCGTCTGTTGTGGGCGTGTCTCGAAGGGTCCGTTAGGCACGCCATTGGCTGACGACGTGAACATGTGACAAGATGTGATTGGTCGACGCAGCGTCAACTGGAAGGAGACAAAGATGTGACGCAAACTGAGCGACAGTCGTCTTAGCCGTTAGCGGTTTAGCGTTAGCTTCTACTCATTTTTTTTTTTACCTCTTTAGCTTTAGCGAAGCTATTTTATTTTTATGTTTGTGCGTTTAACCACAGAGAAGTGTTTGGAAATACATTAAATTTATCGAACTTTTACTTTTTTTGGTTGCTCCTCTTTTTTTTTCTTACCCGTTTCTTTCGCTCTAAAATCGTAAAATTAACGAAGTTTAAAATAATAAAAAGGACTATTTTAAACCATCGCTACACAATATTCCTCCTGAAATATTCTGTAACATTTGGATAAGAACACAGTGTATTTCCATACTTTATGTTGATTAAATAACATTATTAGAATCAATATTTATTTAACAAGAGTGATAACTTTTACCTGAAGGAGCCAGGTTGGTTTGGGGATCTTTTCCTCTCAATAAATTAAAACATTGTTTAAAGTCAGTGTGACATCTTTGTCTGATTTCAACATCAGTTTGCTGCAAGAACAGAATAAACGTGGATCCTTGCTCACAGCTCAGTTAACGTGTTTTGATCATGAATTGTCCGTCCTGAAGGGAACGTTAATCTGTATCTAACGATGCGTTTGTGTTTGTCAGGAGCTTTTAAAACTCTGGATAAAGAAGGCGACGGCACCATCTCCCTGGACATCAAAGAGGTGAAACAGATTAGCTTTAAAAATATACAACATGAAGAACTTACCTGAGCAAAGAAACATTTTAACTTACTCTGGCTGATGCTCAGTAATAATCCGTTCTAGTGCCACTTATTAATTAAACACAAAATATTGCTTTAATCCCGCTAAATTATGTACAACGCTATTTGGTTGCAAAAGTCACATTTTTACGCATCTCTGAAAGTGTCATTAGTTAGTTTTTACTGATGTTTTCCTATAAACACGTCGTCTTCACATAAAATAATTTGTAAATAAAGTTTTTGTGCTTTTTGTTTACTGAAGAGCAGCAAATCCAAATGTCTCGTTTCAAACCGACTAACAGACGTTTTTGTGTCTGGCAGTGGCTCCAGCTGACGATGTATTCATGAAGCGTGCAGGAGAGCCGCTCCACACAGAAGACATCTTCTCACAGCTCCTTCCATGGTTTTTTCTTGTTGGTTTGTTTGTTTACGAATGTGCAGTTGTGCTCGAAATGTTGCCATATTTATCCAGCAGGACCACAAACAGCTAAAGTATAAAATAAAACTGGGATCAACCGAGCCCAAGGGCGAGCTGAGGACCTCCTGCCACCAGGTGGCGCTGCAACAACCAAAGTTTGTTTATTTCTAAAGATTTTCACTTTTATTAGGCTGACAAAGTTCATGGAAAAGTCTCTGACTGTTCAAGTAAAGTGACCCAACTGAAACTGAACTGTTGTTTTGTGTTTTTTATCGGGTTCAGAACCGGAGTGAGACGTCTTACGGTTCAGGTCGGATCATCTCTGAATCATAAAATATCAGAAAGATTCAGGAAAATAAAACGTCACGTCTGCGACCTTCATTTTTTAACATGTAAATACGAAGAGCTCGTTTTATTTAAATAATGTCAGTCCACAACAGAAACTGTCGGGGCACCGTAGAACCAAATGAGTCTGATCCAGATGCTCAACGTGAACCTGGTTCTGGTTCCAGTGGAGGTTTCTTCCTGTTGAAGGGAGTCGTTCCTTCCCACTGTCGCCAACGTGCTGCTCAGGACGAAGGAATCGTTCATTCTTAATTTATGGACAAATGTTAAATATTAACATAAACTGTACACATGAACAGGAATTAAAAAAGGCGGAGAGCCATAATTACAGAACTGGTTCTCCTTCAGATCTAAGATGATTCCTGTCGGAATAAATTTCTAATCTGCAGGTAGAGAAGTAATTAAATACATTTTATACAAATTAAGTGAGCCTAGTTTCATCATATTTATATTTTATCAAACTGTTGTTTGTTGTCATTTACACAGAAAATAAAAACTAATAAAATATAAAAGGAGCACAGAGGGAGTTTGACGCTTCAAGGTAAAGAGCAGAATAAATATTATTAAATGTACAGGTTTAAATGTCCAAGACTGACAGAACAGGACAGTTTTTACAAACTTAAATCACAGACGTGTATTAAATTAATTGGATTAATTGGGGCCTCACGTGCAGCTGATAACCAGCAGGGGGCGATAAAGTGCCACCACGCAGCTTGCAGAGCAGAAAACAAGTGCAGTTTAGATTTACTAACATCGCAGTAATGACTAGTGATTTAAATAAAGTTTAATTTTATTTTAATAAATCATGTGATGACAAAGATTAAAGACTTGTTCGAGTATTATTTTATTGAACATCTGTTGCATACAGTAACTTAATGTAAAGTATGTGATTATGTGTCCTAACACCTGCTGAGGTGTGTTTGGTAATGGGGGCGGGGCCAGAGGGGCGGGGCTAATTGGAGTGAGGAGCAGAAGCAGGAGGTGGCTGCAGCCAGGAAACGGTTTGGTGCGGAAAATCTGGAGACAAAAACTGATGAAAGGTAAGAGACTTCCTGTCTAATTTTACTTCTGACTCAAATCGGACTAATACATTTTTTATTATAGATTTTTTTTTATTATAGATTATATTTATTATAGATTATTTAGTCAGGTTACATTAATAAATTAGACCTGATAAACATGGGAGAGGATTATTGTTCTGGTGGAAAAATAAATCATGGTTTAAATAATCTGAAACTAAACACTTAATGGCCTTTATATAAGCCCTAATTATGATATATATATATATATATATATATATATATATATATATATATATAT